AGATATTTTATCGTGATAGTATTTTGTCATAGTTTCACTATTAGATTTCTTCCTTGCAAGCATGGCTTCTAAAAGATCAACATAGTCTGTAGACCGTGGAAAGGCGGTCTCTAGCGCATTTTTCCACTCACTCCATGTAAGATTATAATCTTCTAAATCGTCATACCAGTCTCTGGCAGAACCCCGAAGGCGAAGTTGCATGATGAACTGGCGATCCTTATTATTCCAATTGTACACATCACCCAACTGGTCGATTTTATGCAACCAACCCTTGACGTTGCTTGTTTTTTCATCTGGCTGAAACGTTGGAATAACTTCAGCATCGGTTTGAGTTACATGTCTCCTTTTCTGTCGGCGGTATTCGCGACCGGAATCCTCATCACTAGTTGAAGAAAAAAAATCTTGGTTTTCGTTGTATTCGGAAGACAATTTTTTTCTATACCTTCGTTTCTTTGCGCCAATACCTTGAATATATGGGCCTGACATGATCCCACTTCTGAAATGTGGATGACGGATAGACTAGGTACGACTAACCGCAGATAAACGATATTTTTACTTGGTATCTATATACTTTGTAATCACTTTCACAAAACTGACAGTTACCCTTAACACTTTTACTTACTGGCGGTTACAAAACAACTGACTAATCTATCGTCACAGCGGCCTTTTATACAATTTTAATAATATCCTAATAATGAACATTGATATTCTTATTACTATAAATATTGCATCATAAATTATAAAATAACTGTCAATCAATATAGGAACGACTAAACAATAATAAAAATTGTTTATACACATTTAATAACATTAATCTTAGGTTCGCCGGAAGCTGACAAGCGGAAGGCGGCAGTTATTATTTAATCATCATTAATTTATTAAGTATTATAAAAAATAGGTTATTAATCTAATAAAGGTTTTGTAATTCTCTGGGAAATTAAAATAAACTTAATTATGCGACGAGCTCGTGAACCCAGCTCCGGAAGACGATAACAATCCATTCTGACGCTGTTAAAAGTGATAACGTCAGTCGCAAAATGATTATTTTCTTGCTAGACTTTTAACACCAATTATACCTTTACCTCTTTTTTTGACTACGGCAACGAATTCGCGCCGTAGATAGACAAAATATAAAAAAATGTCAATAACAACCCCTTATATTCAATAATTTAATACCTTTTAATGACATGGTTAAAATTTTAGGTATCCTTTTGAATTCCTTCTTCCTTCCTTCTCCGATAGTTCTCGAAATCTCCAAATTAATGCAGTAAGTCGTAAAATGCTTACACCATATGCTTCACACCCGAGACTTAACAACTTTTTATTAATTTAGTATTAAGGAATGTTTCGAGCTTTAATGCCGTCTCAACCGGATCTTACATAAGCAATAATTAAACAAATGGCTAAACTAATGGCTCTCCATACCCTTCAGAGCGTTAGACGGCAGCGCAAGAACTGCTATTTGGTGGCAGAAATATGTAAGAGGGTGGAACCCACCCAGACGGACTCCTATACAGAAAGAAATTCCTACAACCTAGCAATTATTATAATATTTGACCATGAGGTCCCGGGTCGAATCCCGGGTCGGGCAACTAAAATTATCAATTATTGAGTTTTTCCATCAAATTCTTAGTGCCTGGAGTCAGGAAGTTGGCGGCGTCTCACCCCCATGCCTCGGAAAGCAAGTGAAGCCGTTGGTTCTGCGCCTGATCTCTCTTCGGTTGTGTCGGTTTACCGTCCCATCGAACTATGAGAGTGACGGAATAGAGAGTGCACCTGTGCTTGCGCATACACTTGGGCACTATAATCCTGTCTTTCGCCGATGTCTAGTCTCCCTTGAGGCTGGCGACCGTGACCAAAATTCGGTCTGGAGAACATTATTTATTAATATAATATTAATTATTAATATCTATAACTTTTATACAGAAAACTTTTTTACTTTTTATACAGAAACTGGGTACGCCAGAAGAAGCATAAAAGCAAGTTGAATGCAGTGGAGATGCGATCTCTTCGTAAAATGTGCGTTACCATAGCCGACCGAAAGCGAAACGAAGAGATTCGCAATATGGCAGGATTGAAAGATGACCTTATCACAAAAATTGATAGGGGCGTACTCCAATGGTTTGGGCACGTTAAACGAATGAGTGAAGACCGAATGGATATAGAGCGAAAGTAAATATTAAAAGGTGTCGAGGTAGACCGAGACTAACTTTCGAAGACCATGTGAGCAAATTGCTCGAAGAGGGGGAGGGTCAAGAGTACTCGGATACCTAGACGTGCATGTATGAAGAAGTTAATGAACCTGAAAGAAGCGAAAGAGGTATGTAAGGATCGTGACACTTGGCGATCTGTTCTCTTTGGCTACCCCGTTAGGAAATGTGCGTGAAGATAAGTAAGTATAACTTTTATAGATTGCCTCGAATATTAGGTGTGTAAAAAGGAAATTTAAAGCTCAATGTGAAAATATTGTACTATAAACATTTAAAAACTTCCGATACCTTTGTTTTCTTCTTCGCACAACTTACTTTTGGAATCGACTACCATCCGAGATTTTTCCAAACCGATACGACTTAGGGACATTCAAGAAAAGAGCCTACTCCTTTTTAAAAGGCCGGCAACGCATCTGCATTTCCCCTAGTGTTGTAGTTGTTCATGGGCGGCGGTAGTCACCACCAGGTGAGCCGTATGCTCGTTTGCCCCCTCTCCTATAAAAAATACCCTAGTAGCGGTAAGCTATAGTGAAGAATACCCACTAGTCATAAAAGTAAAAGATAAATGGACTTTGCCCCCTGGTAATTAGGATGATGCTAAAATTAGGATAGTACGCGTAAGTTGTAAGTAAGGAGATGACAGGAATGAAAGAGAGAAACATACTATGTCGACCCTAAATAACTTGCGATAACGGAAGTAAGAAGAAGAGAGAGGAAGTTTAAAATAATAATACATCCATTACAGTCTACGAATGACTTAAATCCTCCCCAGAATGCTTTAAAGGGAGGATATTCCACAGTTATCAGGTAGGTGGGTTGGCACCAAGTAACGCGAGCCACTTTTTGCTCTTCACAGAGCGAATGCGGTAGGTATCCAATGGGAAAACAACTTTTTTACACCTAATTGTTCATGCAAGATTATTTGTATTTGACTCATGCAAATGTCTAAAGTTGCCTGAATTTCGCGGTATGTCACATGTCGATCTTCCTTAATCAACTTACGCACAGCATCAACGTTTTCTTGGGCGACTGCAGTTTTTGGACGACCTTGACGGGGATCATCACTGAGCTTGACACGTCCACGTTGAAATTCAGCAAACCAGCGATAGATTGTGGTTTTGGATGGGGCTTCATCACCAAATGCAGAAATCATCCGGTCAACACACTGTTTTTGTGTTAAACCGCTTCGAAAGTCATAATAAATCATCGCTCTTGAATTTTCTCGTTTCAATTCAATTTTCTCAAAGACTAAACAAGTTTGACAAAACCTTGTGACAAGACCGAGAATCTTTTTTTTAAATAAATAAATGGTATTCGATTTTTAAAACCAAGGAGTTTTCAATTAAAAAGATTTTAATATGACAGGAACAGTGGAAATATTCCATTCCCGATACTTTTAGTGCAGCCTAGATACTACGACCATAATTTAGCTGCATGCAGGTTGTAGAAGTATTAGGACATTTTTGTGTAAAATTGTAAACTATATAATTATTGTTTGAAACTTTTTTGTATCTCCGACATTTTAAGAGATAATCATCAAGAACCTTTAATTTTAACAGCTTTAATAAAAATATGTCACATCGTTTACAGTTAAAATGAAAGACACAGATACTTCATTTTATTTATATTTATGGTTATATTAGATATTTTAATATCACCAATGATTGCTTTATATCTTTCATCAAGATCTAAGACAGTTAGGATCAACTGTGTATTGCTGTGTATTTTTGAAACCCGGTCAGCACGGACGTGTGAGAAGCGGTCACCAGTAGTTTATTTTGTGAAAAGATGATTGACCTCAACAATCGCTTAAAGAGTTATAGCATAACGATTGATCTTACCTTCAAATAACTAGGTGCCTACTTTCCTACAAGATTATTTACTATTAGATCGGACGCAAAATTAATATACAAAAACTGAAGGTAGCCAGGCTATCAATGACATTGGGACGCTTACAGTATCTTGAAAATGTTCACACACTACAAATTTCTCAGAGCGTTTATAAACTATGACGGGCTAGCTATGACATCGGGACGTCAATTCTGCGAATATAGACTCACAGCTCGTGGCCTTCTTGGCGGCGAGCTGTGAGCCCTAAGACCCGAAGAGACCAGAGATTGATATATACTTTTGTAATTATTTTGGGTTTTAATTAACCTTAATAACTAAGTTCTTAACCTAATGTAAATGTACCTAAAAATAGGGGAAGGTGGGGGAAACCGGACAGAGGGTGAAACCAGATAGTTACTATTTCATTACCCCGCGTATAGCTGGCTCGTTCTAATAGAGAAATACGCGCGAACGCTTAGTCAGTGCGATTGCAAATGGCGGAGTCGGTAACATCTCTGCGCGTGCGTCTATAAACGAAAATTAAAAACAGAGGTAAGTTATCTAATATTTTGTTTTTTTGAAAGTATTATCATTAAGTTTACCTATGTGCTATCATAAACAGCTGTATATTCAAAGAAGTAATACATATTTAAATTTCTAAAACGGTATTTAGTATCGCTATGAGTGTCAAGATAACCTGTTAATTATTGCAATTTCAAACATGGTACCTGTGGGGTACAAGCGGACGGGGTGATTTCGACCATCCGATTTCACCCCGATTGATTTGTATGTAGGTCTTGTGGGTGTTTGTTTTACATCTTCTTTTAATTGCTATTTTCTTTTTACTTTTTACAGAGTGAGAGTGTCAGCATGCCACGAACATATGTGAGAAAGTCAAATAGGGTTCAATGGTCGGAGTCAGACATGCTTTTAGCCATAAATTCGGTGATGGAAGGTAGAATGGGATATCTTTTAGCGTCAAATACATACAATGTACCTAAAAGTTCATTAGAAGATCGTATAAAGAAGATAAAACGTGGAAAATCAAAATATGAAGTGTTCCGAAAGTGCCCTGCTACTGAAAAATGCGTATTTACTGATGAGTTGGAAGGTATGTTAGTCGAACATATCAAAATTATGGAATCTCGACTATTTGGCTTGACTAAAACAGATCTGCGACGTTTGGCATTCCAATTAGCTGAGAGAAACAATTTAAACCATCCTTTTAATAAAGAAACTGGACTCGCTGGCTTAGATTGGGTTAGTGGATTTCTAAAACGACATTCTGAATTGTCGCTAAGATCACCTGAAGCTACATCAGCTGCAAGAGCAATGGGATTTAATAGGTCTGTAGTGTCATCATTTTTTAATCTTTTGGATACACTTTATGTTAAGCACGCTTTCAATTGCACGCGAATTTATAACATGGACGAAACTGGATTGACCTCTGTACCAAAAAAAAAATAGGAAAAATTATATCGGTGAAAGGTAAAAAACAAGTTGGTGCACTAGCTTCGGCTGAACGAGGACAGTTGGTAACGGCAGTGCTTTGCTTTTCTGCAGCTGGACATTATATTCCACCTCTTATGGTTTTTCCTCGAGCACGAATGAAGAGTGAGCTTTTAGATGGTGCACCACCGGGCACAGTAGCTGTATGCCATCCAAGTGGTTGGATGCAACAACATATTTTCGCCGAATGGGTGCGCCACTTTATCTCCTATGTAAAACCAAGAAAAGAAGATCCCGTGCTTCTTGTCTTAGATGGTCACGCCACACACACTAAAAACCTAGAAGCTATTGAGTTAGCTCGTGCGCATGGTGTCATAATGCTCTGCTTGCCACCTCACTGCACGTATCGCTTACAGCCACTCGATGTTGGTTTTATGGGGCCATTGAGCACGTTTTACTCGCAAGAAATCCAGTTATGGCTTCGAAATCATCCGGGGCGTGTTGTCACCCAATTTCAAATAGCATCTTTGTTTGGAACTGCTTATAATCGTGCCGCTACAATGCAAAATGCAGTGTCTGCTTTCGCCAAAACCGGAATTTGCCCTCTGAATCCCAATATTTTTACAGACATAGATTTTGCACCATCACAGACAACAGAAATATCATGTGTACCAACCACAAATGAAATCTCTCAGGATTCATTGCCTCGAGAAAGAACTCCATCCCCGCAAGCAGGAACATCTACAGAAGGACAAATATTTCCAAATCCTATAAGTCTTGTATCGCCGAAAGATATCATGCCGATTCCTCATTTTAAAAAAACAATCCGGCCATCGACGCGTCGAGGAAAAACAGCAATTTTAACTGAATCGCCGTATAAAAATGAACTGGCTGGAAAATCTACGCAATCAGTTATCAAAATAAAATTTAAAGGCAGAGGTAAAGGTATCGGGAAAAAGACCAATAAAGAAAACAATCAAGAAGATTCGGAGTGTTTGGTTTGTGGTGAAAAGTATAGTCTAACTAAGTCCACAGATGAATGGTACCAATGCACCGCTTGTCTTGAATGGGCTCACGAAAGTTGCATTGGTTGTTCTGAGCAAGAATTATTATTTTTTGTATGCAAAAACTGCGAATAATTTAAGTATTTTGTTTTATTGTTAGTATCTGTATTCACCCCTGTAATATAAAATGCCTATCCGGTTTGACCCATAGGTGTGGGGTGAATTCGGATTTGTAATTTTTGTTTAAAATTGTTCTAGTTTGTAGTAATTAAAATTGATCTCAAATATTTTTATACCAAAGTTATGCGTAAGGTATACTCAAACATTTGTGATATTGATTATCTCAATAAATAACATAGTGATTTATTTTTTGTGTCTTTTTCTTAACTAACCGGTGTCCCCCCACCTTCCCCTACGTGTGGCACTCGGTGACTGCCGCGGTAAAGCTATTGCATAGCATTTTTTATCAACTTATGCAATTATAATTATTTATTTATTTTATTTATGCAGTTAAGTCTTTGATATTAAATCAAGTTACACTTTTTGAGAGTGGTGACCGATAAGAAAACAATTTTTTTTCTCTTATTGAATAAATGAGAAGTTAATATTGTTTAAAATATTTTTAATATCTTACAATACATGTAGGTTATTCAGGAATTTTTATCATTCAGTTAGCAGCTAGTGTACACGCATACGTCTAGTCGCACGCACACAAACACCGTGCCGAACTCTGCCGAGTGCCGAAATCTGCCGAACTGAAACGACGTTAGACGATGCACGGCTTTCTATGCCACACCTCCGTGCCCGTCGGAGTGGGGAGCGTGAGGTTTTTTTCGTTACGGAATTTCTGGATTCGGTCCCCGCGCTCAAGACCCGCGATAGAAGCTATCCAATAGCTTAATATATACTTTTGTTATTATTTTGAGTTTTAATTAACCTTAATAACTAAATTCTTAAACTAATGTAAATGGCCAGTACTGCAGAACGACAATTTCATAGGTTACAAAATGTTTCAGACAATGTGGCCTAATAATATTGCTAAAGTATATTTTATACTATTTACAAGGGATCCCTTTTTGTTAAGGAGACCGCCTAGTGTAGTATTTAAGTTGGTAATTGACCTTTTAAATAGTAAATAACACAGAGTTTTATCCTAATATGTCAATTTTTTTAATACGTTTTGACATATTTATAACGAAGGAAATATTTGTGTAATGACCCAATAATAACAATTAAATTAATTAAATAATATGTGAGAATGGTTCGGTTTCAGTCATATTGGTAATAAGGCGTGGTAGCTCTAAGTCTAAACGCTCGCAGTAAATTTCATCATATGCGAGAAACACACCTGTGATCTCCTCCGGTACCAATGCAAATTGTTAATTGCAATGTTAAGTGCTGATCGCTTAACATACATACAAAAGTTTCGTAGTATTGTATAGTTGCTCATTTCGCAATATACACGCTCACTAAGAACTGATTTTACGATATACTCATTAAAAAAATCTTGATATTGTATAACTATGTATAATCGCCCATTATCGTGCAGATGTAGTGTAATTCGAATATTATGTTGCATTGTTTTGGGTTATAAAGGAGTGAGGTTTTGATTGAGTGTGAGCAGTTTCATTTCTTCTGGGCGTAAAGTACATAGTTTCCCAGATGAGTGTTACGTTTACGCACGATCAGAATGTGTAGAGGTGTTTCCTCCATTAAGAAACAGAATTGGCACATTCTTGAGTTGCTTAGTCCCAGGATGAACATGTGTTTTTTAAGACAACAGTGTCCAGTCAGGGCTCTTGTCAGAATACGCAGTTTGTTCTTTACTTGATCCCAGGGCCAGATTCAGGTTACTACTAATGGACATTATTCACCTAACTCTTTTTTTGGGAGTTGACTAAAAAGTGATGTAATTCTGTATTTTAAATAACTGCGCGTGTGAACTATTAGTGTTAATGAGAACAAAAATGCTCCAATCCCAAGTCATTCTGTGTGCTTAGATACATTGAGATTAAAGTGACGGGAGGGGAGATCTTCAATAAACAACTCACTAATCACTTTCTATAAAAGTTTATTGTAAGCAGAGCAGTTCACACAATTAAATAGTCCACATATGCAATAGTCTTTACAATTTAGCACAAGGCGTATCACAGAAAGTTATCAATTGATTCACATCATAAAAGATTACATATATTTATAAAGACAGAATTGACGAACAAAAACTATAATTAGGATGACCGGTGTCTTCGTTTCATTTTTATTTTTCAGATAAATGTAGATAATATTCGCGAACGACTGTTGGGTTTAGCTAAGACTTAGTCATATTGTCAAAATTTGATACTATTATATATTAACATTATGATAACGATTTTCAATTTCTTGACAGTCACAAAAGTACTAGTTATGCGTTATGCGCGACCAATGTGTACAAAAAAATACAATTGAAGTGTCTATTCGTATTGTCAAAATAACACTTTTTAACGAGCTGACCGGGTTTCAAAATACACATCATTACACAGTTCATCCTAACTGTCTTAGATCTTAATGAAAGATGTAAAGCAATCATTGGCGATATTAAAATATCCAATCTATACATACATATAAATAAAATGAAGTGTCTGTGGCCTTCATTTTAACTGTAAATGATGCAAGATATTTTTTTAAAAGCTGTTAAAATTACAGGGTTTTTGATGATTATATCTTAAACTTTAGGAGATATAAAAAAGTTTGAAACAATACTTTATTAGTTTATAATTTTACACAAAAAGGTCCTCATACTTCTACAACCTGCAGCACAAGCTGCAGTTAAATTATGGTTGTAGCACGAATAGGTCGGCTCGACCGGGGTGGGACCACGCTCTCACAGAATACCAGCGTCAAACAGCAGCGTAATGCTGCTGTGTTTCGTATGGAGAGAATTGAGAACCGGAGACCCTTTTTACTAGAAACGAGGCATTCTATCTCAGTCACCCCTGAGTACTAAAACTGAATGCTTCGATTCCAGTGAAAAGGGCTCTCTACACTCATCATACGAAACACAGCAGCATTACGCTGCTGTTTAACGCTAGTATTCTGTGAGAGCGTGGTCCCACCCCGGTCGAGCCGACCTATTCGTGCTACAACTATAATATAGCTGCAGCGCGGCACTACCACGTATTTTTTTATCAACCCGAAGATAACCGAGAAAAACAAGCGTCCCCTGCTTCTTCTATACTTCTACTATTTCGAAGTTTATTTTAGTTAGCAATGTATGGAAAAATTGGCAAAATTGATGGAGTACTTTTACTATCGACGTTTGTACGTTATACTTACTCTTCTCCTCCGCCCGGGTGAGAGTCACCCCACCCCCTCACGCCCCAGAAAATGTACCGAGGAGTGGTTTTTTTTTTCAACTTTTAAAGAAAACTATACCCGATAGATAGGAGCAACAAATAATATCTCTTTTTAAAGAGCGTATTCAATTCTTTTCTTTGGTCATACTTATCTTGGCGCATGATTTTCTTTAAAAGTTGAAAATAAAAAACCACGCCTCGGGACGTTTTCTGGGGCGTGAGGGGGTGGCACTCACCCGGGAGGAGGAGGGAGAGTGGATAATTTTAGTGGTTAAGTTTTACGAAAAGCTGTGGTACAAAATTAAAAATATATAATTTTTTACATAAGCGCCTGCTAGCATCGAGTGGCCTTTCGTACAGGCCCGGACATTTGGCGCGTAAAAAATAAAAATGGCCAGGCGCTTAACGGGTTAACAAAAGTTTACATTTAAGGCTAGCTGAGAGGTGAAGCCTAATGCTATAATATTCCTCATGAATCTGGCTATAATCTACAAAAGTAATTTTTCAAATCAAACTCGTAGTTCTAGAGACTAGCGTGTTTAAACAAACAAAAAAGCAAAAAAAAAAAACTCTTTCGCTTTATTATTAAAAAAATATAGATAACTAGCGATCCACCCCGGCTTCGCACGGATGATATCTGAATCTTGCCAGCAGCTTTAAAGAGTTACCAAGTTGTGTTTAAAAAAAAGTTGATACAATGGTTAAAAGAAAAATGTCTTTACGACCTAAATGAATTTATGTATTTTTGTGGAAAATAAATCTGAAGTCAGTAATATTGATATATATCTAATAATTAATTAATTTCAAACAAACTGAAAGTATGGACATTAACAATTAAGAACAATCATTACACAATGTGACATTTTAAAACCTATTACTTAAATGACATGATATTGACATCAATTTGAATTTCCACTTGTTATTTTTTTTTGCATGTATACATATAAAATATTTGCACACCATATAAGGTGGTAGAATGTAAATGGGCCATTATACATAATTTAAGATCGTACTTCATTGTACACATACATTCTGGCAAATAAATGAATTTGAATTTGAATAGCGCCACCTACCAACTATGATTTTAAATCTTTCCTGACTAAACTTAATCACCCGCACAAAATTTCATCAAAATCGGTCCAGGAGTTTAGGAGTTCAGTCACATACACACGTACAGAAGAACTTTATATATAAAAATATCCGAAACAAAATGTAAAGTACTGAAGTAGACGGAAAATATTAAATAATAGTTCTTTATTCGAAGTCTATGGTCTTTACCTATGAAATTACCGTTCTGCAGTACTGGCCTGCAGTATTTCAAATCAAAATCACTTTTGTTGAAATTCATGGAATTCTTTTTTCAAAATCGGGTATTTGTTTATTGATAAGAGCTATGTTTTCATCGCATTTGAATTTTTCGTCATCATCGATACGTTAAAATTCGAGTAATTATGGAATATGAGTACCGTCATGGCAGCAACGCGGCACAAGCGGCACTCAACATCAACGACGTTTACGGAGCGAATACTACAAACGAACGGACCACGTGTTATTGGTTTGCCCGCTTCCGTTCTGGAAAATTAACTCCGTGGTCGTCGGATTGTGGATGGTGATTGTGGAATCTGATGATAATCAATCTTCGGCTCAATAAGCAGCAGCTTTTGACGATAACATCAAAACAATAATGAGCCATTGGCCTCAAATTGGCATTCTAAAAAAGCTTGACAAATGGGTGCTCCACGAACTTAATGATCGCCAGTGCGAAGTTTGCGTCGAGAGACGCCTTGCGCTGCTCAAGAGGTA